AGAAACTGTATGGGAGTTTATTAGAGACATTTTGATTAAATATGTTGCAATAATGCCTGAAAGACTGTTTGCAGTTATTAAAGCAAAAGAGGGACACTCAAAATATTAATTGTTTACTGAACTCAAGCACTTCCACTTAGTTTCTGTTGTATTAAATATGAAGACTAATAAAATGTTCATGTTTCACCTGTGATTTACCTTCCATTGTTCTTTGAATGTAGCCCGAAATCTAATTTTTGACTTTCTCCTGACATTTTTGCACAGTACTGTATATATACACACATTATTTTAATACACATGATAATCAGTTTCTGTATTCGTGTCACGCTCCTATTTTTCGTAATACTCAACAATATACATCGTCGCTTAGCAATAAAACTATTTCGTGATATTGTTGTTAGGTCAGGTATGGTGTTGAATGCTTAATATACATGTTGATTTATTAGAAAGGTTTGTTTTTTATTCTTTATTTTTATAACATTGGTATTGTTACGTCTATATTGTTTGTTAATTTCTGGTATAAATTCTTCCTGAGGAACTTCAGCGATATAAGTCCTTTCTTAAATAAAACTAGTTTATTCTTTCTCAATACAACTTTAATATTGTTACGACAGCGGAGGTCACATGATGCTGGTAACACGTAATGAGTATCTCGAACTTTCCTGAACGCTCGAGTGATTGCTAGACGCCCTCTATTTTGTATATATAAGACCAGCGAGAAGTGACGGCATAAATAATTGAATTGCAGAGAGGCAGAGATAGAGACGGACAATTGAGTCAAGCGCGGTAGTAAAGTGCGTGAATCGTTGTGAATTATAGCATATGTTTAAGTTAAAGTGACTGTGGAAATTAAGTATATTGCAAAGTTGTATTGAGAAAAAATAAACCAGTTTTATTTAAGAAAGGACTTGTATCGCTGAAGTTTTTTTCGGAAATAATTTTTACGAAAAATTAACAAACGAACACAGACGTAACAATTTGTGTCAGAGACTGGGGTGGAAAAGATAAAAGATGGAAACCAGAAGTGGCAAACCAAACTACAGCTTAGCAGATTTGATGGCAGCAATACAAGAACAGCAAAAGAAACAAGACAAACGAGAAGATAAACAAGAAGAGAGATTACAGCAGTGGTTAGAGGAGAAAGAAAATGAACAAGAACAGAGGCTACATCAATGGTTGAAGGAGAAAGAAAATAAACAAGAAGAGAGATTACAGAAGTGGCAACTAGAACAAGAAAGGAAACATGAAGAAATTCCCCAACAGTTGCAGGAAAGTCAGCAGCAACTACAAGAAAGTCAAAAACAGTGGCAAAATGTACAAATGGAAAACATTAGTAAATTTCAAAGTGAATTAAATACATTAAAAGATGAGTTATTGTCTTTTAAACAAGGAGTATACATCAACCATCGACTTAGTCAGCCTCAGACAACAGGAAGCCCCTTCCAGACCCCGCACGCTAAACCCTAATGCAAATATCTTCAGTACTGCCAGAAGTCACATTCCAGACACGAGTGTCATAAATAGGGGTGATCTAGTACGAAGGAAGCCACAGGAATTCGATGGGAAGGCACCACTTACTGGAATTTGGCCTTTGTTGTTCCCAAAAGTCATTTTATCAAAATTAATTACACAATTCCTCGGTAGTAAGTAGTCCAACCCTAATATGCATTGGTCTTCAATGTCAGCCAATTATGGTTTGTGTCTGTCCTTTATGGCCATGAGCTCAATAGTTACCCACACTGGGCCCCACAACCTTGTATAATGTCCTATCACACCACAGAGCTTCTGTATGGCTTCTGGTACTCCTTTGTGATCTAGCACCTTGATACTCACAAGGGTTTGCT